AATCAGGTATAATTGACGTGGATTCATTCTTAACTGGGGAAATTCAAAGACATAATGGTTTATCCGCACCACACAATAACCGAGTTTCACGCCAGATACAGGCTGACTAAACAGGAACCTGGGCACTCTTTTTCCCCCCCCATTTACAAGTAAAAGGGGCCAAGTTTCATCGCCATAACCACGTGACTCAACAGGTCCAGTTGCATAATAACATTTAAATTGACAGAATTTGGAAATCATAACTACTTCAGAGGTATGTTAATTAAACGCAGGATAAGGGTAGATCCGAATATGAGGACTTATTTAATATTAGTCACATGCACAACAGTTATACATACAGTAACAAATGACAACAGTGTGAAAACGCATTCTTTGTACCTGCAGCCACGTCAAAAAAGAAAAATGAAATACTATACAGTAAAACACCAGTAGTGGAATTGCACATAAAAACGTTAACAACGTATAAGTGTAAATAGTAAAACTAAAAGGAAAAAAAATTAAAATAAAATAATAGTATAATATACATACAAGAAAAAACATACATACAACAACACATCACTAATTAGGATAATTACCTGGAATATATGAATTGTTAATCGCTTTCTGTTACGCTTTATAAATAGCCGTTATCTTATCTAACAGGCACCACGGCCGTTAAATTTGGGTAAATGACCGCTTACTCCTGGCTATAGCATGCTTTTCCTAGATCTTTCACTGGACCACCCTCAAAGCCGCATTTAACGACTACATGCCAACATTCACCCTCTTCACACACAATTCACACAGCCGATGGCAAAGCCCATTCAAACAGAAAACTTTGATTCAATTACAACATTCACACACCTGGATGCCACCGGCACATCGACAATTTCAGCAGGTTCAGTATTCTTGGCTCAAGATCACTTCGACATGTTGGGGCACCAGCGAACCAACAACCTTCCGATTCCGATTTAAGGGGAGGACGACCCGCTCTGCCTCTGCGCCACAGTCGGGTTACCTTTATTGAAGTCCGCCATGTTGAAGCACCATGTTTCAGCAGTCCAAAACGGACAAACCAAACGCCGGCTATAGATTTTCGAATTTTGTTCTTACCATAGTTTCTCTTTCGCGCTTGGGAGGGGAGGGTGAAGCGAAAGAGTCTGCAACTACACTGCTAAATGCTACTAAATCCTACCTTTGACATCTGTAATGTTACTTTTCCTTTATAATTAGGGATGGGAATCAAGAACCGGTTCCAAATTGTCTGATCCATCAGAATTATGTGCCCCTTTTATCAATGCCAAGTATTTCTGACAGCTACTCAATACAAAACAATGATAACAAACTCACGTGTCTACACTAGGGCTGCACCATAAATCCAAATATTATCGCAAGCTGCAAGTTTTTAATAAAGGTCAAATGTGTGAATGTGCATTGTAATGAAGTACTGTAGTGCTGCAGAGATGCCCTGACCTACAAATCTTGTTATCCAGATTTAAGAAAACATGTTAGTTTGGCACAAACAAGATAATGATTACCACTAATTGCGAATCATATCGCAATCACAATATTTTTCAAATAATTGCAATATGATGTTTAGTCTCTGTTTCTAAATTGTGTTCAGACTCAGAGATAATAAAACAGTTCCATTTATGGTGAAAACCTGTGCACGCCTTTTTTCTACTCAGAAAACTGATCAGGAATCAATACTAGAATCGACAAAGATAAGCAGAATGGACAACACTATTGGAATCAAAAAAATCTTATCAGTTCCCACCCCTATGTATAATAACGAAAAGTTGTTTTTATTGATGGCTACTGATACTGATGATCTATTAAGCATTACCTTGATACAATTATTTAAACCTGTTGGTTTCACCTTACAACTGATTTATAAAAGCTTTGTAGAAAGTGGTAGTTTTTAAATACCTAACTTTGGACAAACCACAATGACTGTTAATTCATGCTCATCTATGCTTCATACAGACGTATTCAGTGAGTTAGAAAACACTTAAAATAATCTAATGAATGAAGACAGCGTGGATGTTGCATTGTCTACAGGAAATTAATCTAATCTTTAGTGCTGGGGAGATAAAATCCAACCAGCTCTGATTTTGATTAACATATGCAATAGAGTGAAATACGGAAAGAACTGAGTCTATACTGAGAATGAAATAAACCATGTTAATTGGTTTGTTAGTTACTCACCATGCTGTCATAGTGTATCAGCTCCAGCTCGTAGTCCGGCAGTATGTCGGTCCTGTTATTCACCAGGTCCATGGCCATCTGAGCGGCGGGGAGGCAGGCTTGTCCGCCGGGCCAGCCTCCGCTCATGGGGAACAGGGCTCCGATGTAAAGCTTCTTCTTGCCTAGAGCCGAGCGGGAGCAGGAGAGGAGGACAGTGAGGGTGAGGGTCAGAGAGCAGCGGAGGAGGCCTTGGCAGAGCCGGGCCATGATAGTTGGAGGATGCTGTTTGTTGATTGGGGCTCTGTGAGTTCAGGTTGCTCCTCCAGTAGCCTACTGCCGGAGGCTGAGGCGGACTAACTGTGCGTGGGTCAGGAGGAGCTTTGAATTCCCATGAGCGGCACAAGATGATTTTCTCACAGATGGCAGCACATTTAGAATATTAATTTATGGCAAACATAAAGGTTAGTTGGACTGCTTTTCTGTTGCAAAAAAAACAAAAAAAACATATAACAGCTGATAAATAAATAAGTTAATATGAAACAATTGAATTCAGCTCATCTGCTCTTCCATGCTTGGAGATGAACTTCATAACCCCTCAACTCACTGAATGCAATCAACAAACAGCAGAGGAAGTACTGCGATGAACAGAGACCGTTCACACAGGAGAAGGCTGGAGTTGCAAACTAAACTTGAATATTTAATCGAGATTTAATCCGGATTTACGATCCGAGGATCTGAAACTAAACTCAGTCTGTTTACATAGATAACAGGAAGCCTCCCTTCCTCCTTATGCAATATTAACAAAAATCCACACTGAGCTCATGAGGACGAGCATCGTTATGTCCGGATACACTCGTCATCTGCCCTTCCTCAGCCTCCGCCTACGTACAAAGCGCAATACAGGAGCAATGTTAACGCGGTAATCCGACGCAGTCTAACGACAGAGCGGTCAGTCTGCCAGCAAGGTCGATCCGGAAAGGGGATGGATGCTGGAATGCGGTCAGCCCTTCAGGAGGAGAAGAGAGACGAATGACGGTACCAGCGCGGAGCTCCGAGTCTGACTGCAGCAGCAGCGTGTGAGGGAGAGGAGGAGGGAGAGGTGGAGGTGGAGGGGGAGGTGGAGGAGGAGGGATGTTCAGTCTCTCTGTTTCACAAACCACTTTGAATTTACAATCGCTTGACACAGTCCCGCTCATTTATCTTCCCTCCTCCCGCTCTCTCCTCCGTCCGCTCCTCCGAAAACAACACCCCCACCTCCCTTTGTCTTTACACATTGCTACACCTATACCAACAAATGGTAAAGTCTAGTTAAAATGAAAAATGACCTTTTAACCCTTTAAGATTGTATCCTCAATCATATTGTACCACTATTTAAAGCTGCAGTAGGAAACTATTTTAAAAAATACTTTTTTGACATATTTGCTTACACTTCAGGTTCCTCTGGCTCCTCCTAGTGCTCCTAATGGTATTTGCAAGAATCCACCAGCCTGAACGAAAACAACCAATCAGAGCAGAGAAAGATAGTTGATTGATGTTGAGTGTTGAGTCTCAGGATGTCTAATACAGACATAACACTTTATGACAAAGTGTGAACCTATCATTACATCACCCACTGGTTTGTAGAGAACCATTTTGAAGCCTTCAGTTCGGCGTTTTGGCCGTCACCATGACAGTGAAACGGAACCAGTGCGAGCCATCGGACGTGATGTACTGCGAATTGCTCTACACTCATACTTGTTGCTTACTGTCACCAACAGTAATGTTAGATCTAACATTACTAACTATGCTGTAAGCTAGTTAGCTAGTTAGCTCATTAGCTGACTTAGCCCCCAGGTGCCAGGAGCCAAAAATAGGTGCTCCCAGT